CTTTCATTATTGCGGGGTCCATACGAGTCACGCTTTCTCTCTTTTCTTCTTTCATTTAATGTTCGCCGCTATTTCTTCCGGTCGAATTGCATTTTAGCCGGAGAAAGTAATCCGATTAATCCACCACGAAATATTACAAAGTATGGATTTATTTCGAGGGAAGTTTCTCCCTTGTGATCATCTCACGCCATTTTGTATAGAACTGAATCTCTTTTCTTATCGAAATTATGGAAAATTTTGTAATGGAAATTATTTGTTAAATCATCTGTATAGTTTAATTTATAGGTTTTATAGCATTAGTTGTTTATTGTGTTGATATATATTGGTTGTGGTGCCGATCATCTCGCGCTAATATGTATGGAATTAAATGTCAGTTTTTATCGAAGTTGAGTCAGTTAAATCATTTGTATATCTTAGTTTATAACTTATATAATATATTAACGTATGTATTTAGTTATTTGCTAGATGATACATGAACCGTGTTTTTTAAGTAGTATAAATCCATTTATTCATATATTGAGATATTAAAACGTTTTCGTTTTCATCAACTAAAGAAAATTGGTAAAAATTAATAAATTCGAGTAGGTTTCTGATAACTGTAAATACGTTAGATTTTATTATGTAAAAATAATTAATAAAATTACTAAAGAAAATAATCGGTTTTATTAGATTCAAGTTGACTTATACCACTTTCAATTATAATAAATTATGAAAACTATGCATAATTGCAATTTATAATTTATAGTTTAATTGCAGTTGGCTATTTTGAATAAATAAGATTTCGTTGAAGTTTTAATTTTCGAATCTTCGAAAGGCACACTTACAATTAGCATGAATCGTACGAAGCTCACTTTGCTTCAATTCTTATAGGCAACCAACCTGAGTTGTAAATAAATAAAATATTAGTGAATTGTATAAGTTATTTCGGGACTCAAGAGCCGTTAATTTCTTGATTGATCGTTCAAAAAGACAAGTGATATACCCACATTTGACACCGAGCACGTGTCACGGAGCAAATCGAACACAATTATTAACTTCAATTCATTTCATTTGAGCAATAACACCGTTATTTTGTTTATAACGTTATTTTTTTAAAACATTGGTGACTAGAATTCATAATAATTAGAAAGTGTTTTCAACTATTCATTATTAATAGTGTATTTTGATTAGTTTATGAAGATATTGTACATCAATGGCTGTGTTATCATAATTATAAAAAGATAACGTTTATGACTTACTAAAATTCTCATTCACTCATTTTTGTTTTAAAATAGACTGATACCACTTTTATTGTAAAAAACAGCTCGTATCTGTGAATTGATAACACCATTTTTTCATAGATTTCCTCATTGTTACTAGGTATTTTTATTTTTGACACCATACTGTAATTTCATTTTAGTTAACTGATCTTTTGAAAATCTCACGAAACTCGAAATTATTTAATGAACCCAATGATGAAAATTAAATCTACAAAGTTAAGTTCTACAGTCAATCTTCTTCTTTCAACTTCGCAGATCATAAATTTAGTTGGATTAATATGTCCTCATGAAAACTTATTTTCGAATCTGGTTCAGGAATTGCGTTCACATATTAAAGTCGCAGTCATTTTTACATCATATTTAAAAAGGTCTTTAATATAAAATATTTTATTCGCTCGCTTTAACTCACGCATTATGAATTCTTCGACGCCCTGTAAAGTTGTTTGTTCTTTTTTCTTACACCCTGTATACAGTGTAAAAATGAGTATGACAGCCTTCGGTGTACGAGCTCACGAGTTTTTATATCCCAGTTACAGTTTCGAACACGTACTAGTATATTTCCTAGGAGTTTTACTATCTTTCTCTTCCAAACTCGATTTTTTCTTGTTCTAATGAATCCCGATAAGTTTGGATCGATAACTTTCTTCGAGAAGTTTCTTTTATTTCTGCGCGCTCCCGTCCA